ACGAAGTCGCGAGCGGCGGCTGGTAAGAATTAATTGCTCAAGTGCTCGCTTTAGTGCTTGGGCGCTTGGAACGCTCATCGTTTGAGCGTTTTCGCGTCGAGTGTAATTAGAGCAATCAGCGCGAATCACGTTTTATAGTCAAGTATGCACTTGTTGTCGAGCGGTTCGGCTTTACTAAATGTCCCCGGAGTAGTTCGAGTTGGGAATGTAAATGCGTATGTTTTTTTACCATAGTAACAGAAACTTTGACACGCTTTCGCGACTACCGATTGGTGTGAAGATAGAAGCAATATTGGTGAAGGGCTTGGGCTACTCACTCACACTCACGAAAATAAATCTTGAATGGTGTGAAAGTTTGTTTGGAAAATATATATCTTACTAGCTGCCGCAGCGAACTTCGTACCGCCATAAAAAATATAGGTTGGTTTTGTATAAAAAAAAAATTCAAGGGTGGACCATCCTTAACATTTAGGGGGATGAAAAATAGATGTTGTCTGATTCTCAGACCTACTGAATATGCATATAAAATTTCACGTAAATCGGTCGAGCCGTTTCGGAGTAGTTCAATTACGCACACCGTGACACGAGAATTTAATATATTAGATTATCCTACTAATGTTATAAACACGAAAGTTTTCATCCGCATCCGTACAACCTTTTAAGCGTGAAAGAGTAAAAAACATCGACATATACATAATTTCGATGTTTTAATTTGGTATATAGTATGAAAATGGTTATAATCTGAAAGCTGGTTGTTAATAAAATATTTCATATAAACATAAAATGTAGGTACCTATTGAGAGATCAGTATTTTAATCTCAATACATCTCAGATCGAACCAGACGGGGCCCGCGAGTGGCCCATTTTCATTATGAGATTCTGTCTATAGGAAGCGTAACAGACAGACAGACGGAATGAGTTATTTTCGCATCTAAAATATAAGTACTTATCGATATAAGACCGTGACCGATGTCTTTTGACTGGAGATGGGCATACTCTTTCTTTATCTCGGCATAATTTATTATCAAAACCTATGGCGGGCCAAGATTTTCTTCAGGCCACCTATTTTTTGCCCAGAATTTGTAAATTAAATCAAAATAAATGCCCCTTACCTTAAACTCAGCAGCAGGGTCAATACGCCTTTGAGTTTGGTTCGAAGTAAATAGGTAGGACCCAGGTTGGGCAGACTTATTTGAACATATGAAAGAAAATTTTTTTGGTGACCTCTGTTTTTTTTTGTGGTCGCGGGCCGGATTTCAGCCATTCGAAAGAGCTGGACTTGGCCCGCGGGCTGTAGTTTGCCCATCCCTGCTTTAGACAGGCCGGACCCTAAAATGTTGACGTCACTGTTTGATCAATACATAAACTGGGGTTATAAGTGTATTAATTTGTGGAGTGTTAGCTAAGTTGTGCGCGCTCATTTTTTTCTCTCTTTCTTTTATAGCTAGTAAATGAAATATGTATATGTACATACTTGTATACTGTACACACAAACATATATATATATATACACCGTGTTCCTGAGGATATACATAACCTTGGAATAATACTTCTATAACTCTTGTTAAACATATCGTACATGGAAAGTAGTACTTTAAATAGCATAGTTTTTAAGTTATTGGTAATTTAAGTTTAACCAACTTAATTGTGTTGAGCAGTGAGAAAGAGTCTTTATCTGTGAGATGTTGCCACTTTGTGCTACCAAAACTATCAAACTATCAACTCTTTGTCAATGGTCATTAAGTCATAGTTTCAAAAGTCGAAATTTTAAAAAATATTGTTGATGTCAAGAAAAGTTTCAAAAAGTTTATGTGGACATGTGAACCAAAGTTTCAAATGCGACGTTGCCAGCTCAGGTAAAGAGTAATTCATATTAGATAAATTACATCTAAGCATTTAGTTTGTATGAAAATAAAAAATGTTAAAGAAATTGGAATTTATAAAAGTGTCCATAGTAAAAAATGATCAATTTAATAGTCTGAATAACATGCCAAAGTTAGTGTATAACCTCAGGAACACGGTGTATATATAAATATATATGTACAGTATATACATATATATATAGATAGATACAGATGGAGCTAAAGAAGTTTCACTTCAGTCGTGTGGTCATAGGCATACTAATTTTTTTACGATACATAAAATACAGAGGATTTTAGGGCATACGTAGATGTCGTGCTGTCATTTCTAAGTCTACTGCAAATCCTTCTTTATGTTTTTTCCTTCTTATTATTATTCGATTTCGAATTGGAAAGGGCTAAATAAACAGTAGTAGAGGCTCTATAAATTGGACACACTATACTGGAGCGCTTGTTACAATGCTCTTTATTCACAGCGATGGCGCATTGACGTAACAATCGGTGAAGGGGTGCTTCAAAACGCAACCAAACTGAGGAGTGGAGGGACTCTTTTTTTCACATTGATAATATTTCACTAAGAAGGTAGGTTGAATTAGAGCGCCCGTCTGGGGAAGTAACCTCCACCTTACAGAATACCACAGTAAAATAACCATAAAAATAGGAGGAGGAGCTATTCTCGCTTATCCCCCCATCACCTATTCTTCAAAAGACCACGCGCGCTGGCCTACTTTGCCACCGACTTACTGTGGCCACTACTTCCTACACGAACAAAGAAATTCAAAATCGTAATCGTACTATTCGTAAGTGGAATTCTTTACCCGCGCACGTGTTCCCTCCTTCCTATAATCTGGAGTCCTTTAAGAGAGGCGTGAAGAAGCATTGTTGCGGGCCGGCAAGGTGAGGATGGTTGGTGTAGCTGTTTATAACTGCTGTACCAGCTATCTTCGCGTTTGGACTTTATCAGCACTTAACATCAGGTGGGGTAGAGTCATTTGCCAACGTAGTTATAAAAAGAAAACAATATTTTTTGTCGGTGTTGTGTTTCTGTCGGGGGGTAAGGTTCCACGGCTCCACGGGGTTGGGAGATTGGATCAGGTTAGGAAACGGCGCGAGTGATATATTTTGTATCGCAAGGATCTACAGACTATGGCAGCCGCTTACCATCAGGCAGGCCATTTGCTTATTTACCGCCCTTTTAACATAAAAACAATCACGAACAATTTGAGGTTTACAACTGTAAGACAGACTAGATTTCCTAGGCAGTATGATCTCGAGAAATATTGCCTATATTGCGAAATCTGTACACATGACATTTACTATAATTATTACCATTTTTTTTTATTGCTTTCGATTTTAGACGAGCGGGTGTGCCAGCTGATGTTAAGTGGTCACCTTCGCCCATAGACAAGAGCTGTGCCATTGACGCAGCCAGACCGCTGCATTTTTGTGGAACACTCTATTTATTTTGACGACCTCCGTGGCCGATTGGTTTGTACACCGGGTTTCTTGGGAATCCAGAGATCCCGGGTTCGAATCCCGGTGGGGGCAGATGTTTGTGTGATGAATACAAGCATTTGTACTCCATTAATGGATGTTTAATATGTATTTTATATATTAATATACTTATGTATGTACAGTATATGTTTTCTATTCGATACCCTAGTATCCTATAACACAAGCCTTACTGTGCTTACTTTGGGGCTTGGCTAATTGGTGTGAGTGTTGGAGATATGTATTGAATACTATTGTTTATTATTAAACCTCTTTTGAAGAGGATCACATTATAATACTATAATTTTACTGTCCGTGGAATAAAGGATCTATGGAAACGAACATTTGTGGACTTCAGTGTTTCCAGGTTATATGGGTAAACTCCGGTAGACTCCGGTGACGGGTGGTACGGTGGTAGAATGCTGGTGTGACCATGAAAGAGCCTGTAGAATACGTATAGGCAGCCAGAGTCCCTACGCAGTCCTAAAGGGCTTAAGTTTTTCTCTGGTTTGGAATCATCGACCATCCGAATTACGTCTTTGTATACAATTAAGGGGATCCGACTGGTATTTGGAAGCTCCAGTGCAGAGGTGCGAACAGTACTCCAAGTGGGGCGTAAATAAATAAATACTTAATGCATAATCATCATGTTGTTTAATATTCAGCTAATTGACACAACTATTTTCAATAGTACAAACCACAGAATACAGAAAGAGGTTAGAAGGGCCTTGTGGGCGGGGCAGGCGCGCCACAGATGTATGAGCAAATGCTCATAACTTGACCAAAACTTGGTTCAGATTGCGTCGTTGCTTTCGGCTGTGAGCGCTGATTGGTTCGATTGTTTGATGACTAGTCGTTTGATTGGCTATTTATTACCTATTAGGTGAAAGTTTAATGGGGGCGCGCCCGCGATCTAAGATCACCCTTCTAAATACTTTCTATGTTCTATGCTACAAACAAAATATCAATCATATCAAACTTTTAATGAACAAGAAATAATTTAAAAGTCTGTGTTGCCTACTTTGATTCAAATAAATTCAAAGCAAACTACTTTAATGAAAAAATGTATAAATAATACATGAGATACAATATAAGCGTGATATCTAAACAAAGCTACATTCTAATGATTATTTACTTAGAATTATTATATAATAAATTTAGGTACTTGATTTTTATACAACTTTTGTTGGTTTGCATTATTTTTTTCCTCTTTATTTGTAGCAACATACAGTCATACATTTTAGTATAGTTATTCTGTGGTTACAGTGAAATTAAAAGAGACGACCAACAGTGCCAGCAATTTAACTTATTAGTTACAGAAAAACATTACAGAACAAGTGTATGCTCAAAAAATATATATAGAAAAAGACAATTTATATGTAAACATGCAAAACTCTTTAAATTTAAATGTTTAGCAGCTGATATTAAAGTGCTTCATTAAAATCGATGTCACTTTGTTCATTTTGTTATTCCGCCGAGAGAGAGAGCAGTATACGGCTCTTAGTGATATACTTACTTATGTCCAAATAAATACTTAATTTACAAAACTATAACAGATGTTTCCAAAATGTTACTACAATTATTGTAAAAAATGCATATAAAATACCTCCATGAATCGACAGACCAAAACCCAACGACAACCCAGAGGGTCAGTCACGCCATTTCCCTTATATGACTCTATCTAACAGATAAAAGCAGGTAGCATTTTTTTTATAAGTATTGCTGCTCTATAACGCTGTGAAACCAGCATACTACAAATGTGAACTAACATATAAATTTCGAAAAGACTACTGAAAAGACTTTATCAAGGTTCTAAAACAATTGAGGATTGTATATTCAAAAGGAAATATTACGGCCATAATAAAATTGTGGATTAATAAAAAAAAACTTCTAATCAACATTAAACAGTTAACTAAGATATTATTTTATTATTAATAGCTGAGCTGGCGAACTTCGTACCTACCAAAACTTGTCCAGAATAACAAACTTTATTTTAAAAATATTACTAGCATAAATAATAAATATTCCGTGAATTTTTGAAAATGTTCTTTTATGCAAATCTTGTCCTGATAATAGCGAACACAATGAAAAAAGAATTATCCAATTTGGTTTAGTCGCTTGGAAGTGATGCGCATACATACTTTTCGTCGATTCATTTATATATATATATATATAGATATCTTCAGTAAAATATTGAGGAGAGGTTATTAATAACGCTTTCTGACGCAGTTTTCAAACTGCGTCATAAACGACACCACAATCCATATTTTTTCATTTTGTTTTTATAAATCTGTAGTCTGACTAACTGCTTTTCAAAGCTCAGATGATGTGAACCAATCCAGACTACAGATTTATAAAAACAAAATGAAAAATAGGGATTGTGGAACTATCTTTTGAACAGAACTCCCCAATTCATAGTGTACCAATATTATGAGTCTCACAAACAAAACACTATCGCCTCCGAAACGTGTTAGACAGTATCATCTTCAATGAATCGAACACATTCTTGAACATTTTCACCCTTGACGATGGGAAAAGGAGGTCTAGTACACCTCTCTGGTGATTGTCCTTCATCGGTGCAACTATCACAGTACTGTCATCTGTAACCTCCATACTGCTGGGTACTGTTGAGCTGTAGCTTGGTGTCGAAATGTAGTTTGGTACAGAGCTAGAATTAGTTGCGTCATTGGCAGTTGCATTGGGTTTCTTGACATGAGCAGCACTGATAGCGTATTTCGCTGGCGGTGTCGATAAAGGAGTTCCAGTAGTGGTGTCAACTTTAGGGAATCGGAACTCGACTAGCGGGGAAGTTTGCAGGTGGAAATCTTTGTCTTTGACCTGAGTCTGGATTTTATCATCGGAGAGCATGGCGAGGTGGCTGCTGAAGATGTCGTGGAAGTCCACTGATGCTGGTGACTCGGCGATGTTCAGACTGGACTCTCGAGTTTCAGCATCACTGCTGGTCTTTGTCTGACAAAAAAATGGAAATGTTTTATAATTTTATGATTGTTTTATTTCTTAAGTATTCTACTCTAATCTACCCTCTGTTTCAATATGGAATAGGATGCAGATTGTCCGCCAAAATTTTAGCAAAAGCAGTTTGGGCAAATAATTGCCATTTTACAGAACATTACAAAATCAAAAATCAATATCATTTATTCAGTCTAGGCAGAATGCCTAGACTGAATAAACGATATTGATATATCTATAATATATCAATACTAGCTGACCCAGCGAACTTCGTACCGCCCTAAAAAAATAGGGGTTGTCCAGCGGACACAATTGTGAATCTAAACCATTCTCAGATCCCCTTGAACACACACAAAAAATTTCATCAAAATCGGTCCAGTCGTTTAAGAGAAGTTCAGTGACATACACACTCACAGAAGAATTATATATATAAAGATATATATAGATAATATATAGATAATAAAGCACTTGTGAATGTCGAAAAGATACGCCAGCGGTTCTCAAATCTACGAAGGGAGACCTTGTACTGAGAAGAACCGGCAAGAATGAGTTTCTTGGCGGTTCTTCTGGCAAGGCAAGGCAGCAAAGGCTGTTTTTCTCTCCGTGTATTATATACAGAGTCGTCAAATTGAAAAATGACTTCAATATGAGGTAACTTATGAAGTCAGTTTCCATTACAAATGTACAGTAAAATATCATTAACTTTTGATGGGTTTATGTTGTTGTCGATAAGGTTCCCAGGGCAGGGCAGGAAGTAGGGCATGGGTTAAGGTCAGCTACGTGAAGGTGGCTGGAGTGTAACAACTTTTTTGACGCATCAGCTGTTATCGTAACTGGTAACGCACAATGTAAATCGCAACACTGCTCAACATCATGAGTAGCGGATTTTCCGCTCTAACTGGAGCGCCCGTTTGTGGAAACAAACTTCCAGCTTAAAGAATACCACAGCTAAATAACACTTACTTTTAGTGGGGTTGTGTTTCTGTCGGTCAGTTTTTTTTTTTTTGAGTGTGTATGCTGTTGGTCGCAGATGACCATTACAGCGTCACCGGGTTTGGGGACGGCGAGATCCTAAGGGGACCTCAAGCCGAGAATTGGCGAGTGCCTCTGGAGGTATTCCAGTCGGATGGCGTCTCCCCGGGGGGAGTCTCCACTCCGTCTAGAGCCTCCAGACCACTCGAACCTGAGGGGGTCGGCTCAACTAGAGGGCGTCTCTGAGACTCGGACCTCGGCTCTAGTTGGCCGTTGTCGTGGGGGGCGGGAAAAAAAGCCCAGGTACGTACCTGTACCTGGTATAGCGTGTCGTGTGTAGACCGGGTCTTCGCACTCTTATCCTAAGGGTGCGGTGTCTGCCTAATGCTAAGCTAGTGTGCACGTTTGCTAGCTGTGTAGTGTTGGTGTTTGTGGCCTGTGTGGGAGGAGTCGGAGGCGCGTTGGCGCGTGTGATTTCGTCGTCTAGGTAGTCTAAGACGTGCCTAGGCCGACGGAATCGGAGGGACCTACGATTGGAGGACGGGAGGGCGGACGTATGATAACTACTCGCTTTTACTACTAAGGGGTTCGGGTGATGCGCGGCTTTATCGAAGTAACGCCTCGAGGCGTCCTTCATATACTTCGCGATGGAGTCTAATTTGAGGTCGCGATGCAAATCGATGTTGCACGTACCACGGGCAACCCGTGGCACCGCGCAACACACGATTTTGCAGCGTTTGGAGTGGTTTAAGACGCGACGGGGGTACGTGGGCGAAGCAAACACTCGCGTAGGTCATTATAGGGCGGATGCAAGTTTTGTAAATTGTCAACTTATGTCTAAGTGACAACTTACTACGCTTCCCTATGAGGTGGAATAGCCTGCCGCGAATGAATGCTGCGCGATCGCGAATTATCTTGAGATGAGGTGCAAACGTTAATCGGTTGTCTAACGTAACACCCAAGTACTTGACCCGGTCCTCCCAGGGGATGACCCAGTCAAATAGTTGGATGCTCGGAAGAGATCGCGTAGGAGGTGGTGTTGTGCTAAAGAGGATCGCGACGCTTTTTTCCGGATTAACCTCGATACGCCATCTACGGAACCAATCACCAAGGGTGGTAGCGGCTGATTGAAGTCTATTACAGACTGTTCCGAGACGTCTATCGGAGGTATAGAGGGCGGTGTCGTCGGCGAAAAGCGCGAGATCGACCTTAGGAGTCTTGGGCATGTCGTTCGTAAAGACCGAGTAGAGGATAGGCGAGAGTGGCGAGCCCTGAGGCTCCGGCGCGTATTGGACGAGGCGAGGAGAGCGTTCCTTCGACGCGATAGCGAAACGAGCGTATCGACAAAAAGTCCCGTATGATGAGCACGAGTCTATCCGGCACACCGAGTTTGTATAGCTTATAAATTAAGCCATTGTGCCAGACTTTGTCAAATGCTTTCGCCACGTCGAAGAAAAGCGCACCTGTGGGAATCGCGGAGGCTCGATATAGATCGCGGTAATGGAAGATGTGCTCCGTTAGGTGGTGCACCTGGTGGACACACGAGTGTTTGGGACGGAAACCAAACTGTTCGTTCATAATGAGGTTGTTCGCGAAGAGAAAGTCTTTAAGGCGGCTAGCAAGGGCTCGTTCGTAGAGTTTCCCCAGTGTTTTGAGGAGACTAATAGGGCGGTAGCTAGAGGGTAAGGCACCGTCCTTACCGGGTTTCCGGGTCCCGATAACGACGGCCTCTTTTCACTCTGTGGGCAATATCGCGTTTGACATAGCCGCGTTAAAGATAGCAGTGATAAGGCAAAGGAGTTGGGCGGGTAAGATCTTAAGGACCTTACTAGAGATTCCGTCTGACCCGGGGGCGCTACGCGGGCGCAGTTTACGGATTAACGAATGCACCTCGTCTGTGACCGGCTCAAGTGTGGCGGTGGGCGGTACGGAGGAGGACTTTTCGACTTCCCATTCGACTAACTGTACGTGTTCGAGGGGGACTGGGAGGGTGCTAGGCGAGCACTGCGCCTCCAGGCTGTCGGCCAGGCACTCGGGCTTTTCGTCATCGTTAAACGCGATCGATCGGTCAGGTTTGGTCAGGGGAGGCATAGAGCATTCGACCTCTGACTTGAAGGATCTCGCCAGCTTCCAATAAGCTTGGTGTGATGGCGAGATCTCTTCAAGCAGTTCATCCCACTTAGACTCCCGCATTTCCTTCATGCGCGCCTTAACAGCACGCTGTAAGGCACGCAATCGGGAGCGGTTGTCGTCCGTGGGGTAGGTGTCGAATGCCCTAGTGGCAGCGTTCTTTGCCCTTAACAGCTCTCTAGCGTCGTCCGGTAGGTTGTAGCGATGGTCTGGCATCGCTGGAACCTGTCGGGACGCCTCGCTTATTGCGGAAGTGAGATGGCTCGAGAGGGCTCCGATCGCATAGAGGGTGTCCTGAGTGGAGTTTATGTGGTCGGGGATGGAGTTGAGTGGCGAGCTGGCGGAGGGTTCGAGTAGTTTCTCGATCCTTCTCCAGTTCGTCACTGTCCTTGAGGCTGGGAGGTCAGAGGGAGGACCCAATTGTAAAACAACTGGGCGGTGGTCGGAGGAGAGTTCATGAACCGTTTCTATCGAACGCAGCCTAAGGGCTACGTTCTTTAGTAAGGCCATGTCTAGGGGATTAGCAGCGTGACCTGCTTGGGAGGGGAAGTGGGTGGGTGTGAGGGGCACTATGATATCAAACACCATAGTGTCAGAGAAGTTGGAAAGCAACCTGCCATTACGGTTGGTTGTGTTGCAACTCCACTGCACATGCTTGCTATTGAGGTCGCCGGCAATAATGACGGCGTCGTCCATAGCAAACAGGGCCTCTAGGTCTGGTTGGGTGAAGTTTTTGTTGGGGGACAGGTAAGCTGAAGCAATCGTGACCGATCGATGCCCGGTCATGCCTAGCCGACAGACGGAGACTTCTAGATCAGTCAAAGTGGGAGGGACTAGCGGGGAACAATGGAGAGACCGCTTGTAGTAGATGAGAGTGTCACCGCCGCGGCCATCTCTATCTTTCCGGACTAAGTTGTAGTTGGCAATGCGCGGGCCACGAATGGACGGGTCGGTGAGTAAGGTTATAGGGCTCCATGGGGTGGGAGATTGGGTCAGGGTAGGCAACGGTACGAATGATATTTTTGAAGTGAAAACTCCTTTAGCGGCGTTGTACACTTTTTTTGTATGGGTAAAAATGTTAAACTCGCGTCAGGTTAAACACATGGGCTGATCGCATCATGACACACAATAAAATTGGAAAGGTTGTTGACTTTCAATATATTGGACGAAACATAGTAATATTTTATTTTACCGTATTAAATTTTTTACGTGGCAGCTTTATTGCGAAGAAAATGCATTTTTTTACAATAGATGACGCTAGGTGCGCTTAAATGTGATTCATGTAAGTTGATTTCTTTACAATAGATGTCACTAAGTGCGCTTCAACTTGATTCATGTAAGTTGATTTTTCTAAAAGATAAACTTTTTTAATGTAATATAAATTGTCATGTTTGTGTAGGATAGCGCAATAAATAAATATTGTATTCTACCGCATACATGACAGTACTTTTATAATGATAATTAAAGCAATTCGTGCAAAATTATTCCCTAACCATTCCGTGCAACCCGTCGTTTTTTTTAGCATTTTACTGCTTGATGTTTAAATCTAAAGAAAATATAACTACAAAAAATTCCACGCGGACCAAGCAGCAGACGGGACTCGAATGCGAAGAGATGGCGCTGCCTTGCAGCTTAAGAATGGCTAGGAGAATTTCGACGCGGCCAATAGGGCCGCGGTAGCATAGCTTTTTTATGTTAAAAGGGTGGCAAGCAAGTATATAGCCCTCCTGATGGTATACTGTAACTGACACCATAGCTTATAGACACTGGCTGTATAAATAATATCACTCGTGCCGTTGCTTTACCTGAGGCAATCCCCTACACCGTGGAGCACTGGAACCTTACACACCGTCAAAAACTCAACATCACCAAAAGGTACTGTTATTTTAATCAGTACCTAAGAATGCACAGTTTTGACTTTCCTTCCATTTTATTATAGGTATTTATTTATTTATTATAGATCAAACTAAAGCGACTGACGTAGCTTTGTCTCTCTGTGTCAAGAAGCATAGCGGATTTACCACTCGAATTAGTGTGCCCTTCTATATACTTATACTTTTATTGTAACATCACTATTGTACCTTTGTTTATGAATAAATTACTTATATTCTATTCTATTGTTCTGGGGAAGTAACATCGACCTTACTGAACCATTTTATTCAAAACTGTACATTGAATATCTTTTTAAAAGAATACTTGGGGTGTGATCTACAATCGATACCGAAGCCAAAAATATAGTTTTTAGACTCTTTCTTTCTTTTTCTCTGTATGTATGTCCGGGAAGTACTGCATGTTATTATTAAGAAGTCGGGTCAACATATAGGCTACATATTATTACGAAACTCAACCCCTAAGAGGGTAATATGGGGGTTGGAAGTTTGTATGAAAGTCCTATGTTTTTGAAGTAAGAGACTTGAAATTTAACATGTATGCTCTATAGATGGTGTAGATGTGTACTCATAATGTATCTTTAGAAATAAACCCCTAAGAAGTATGTGCAAAAAACTAACTTCACGCGTATCAAGTCGAAGGCGGTCGCTAGTAAAAGCATAAGTTTAGAAGGGCGCACTCATTCGAGTGGTAAATCCGCTATGCAACTTAACACAGAGAGAAAGAAAGAGAAGAAAGCTACGTCAGTCGCTTTAGTTTGATATAAAATAAAAATGTACTTACAAATAAGAGCAGGGATATGATTAATGTAGCACTAAGACACATCTCGAGTTTGCTTGAACGACCTCTGAACAGTACTGGCACCGAAAGTCATTGTGCATCGGTCAATAGTTTACTTTAAGCAATGAATATTGTTTTAATAGAACAATTAATGTTTACAAAAATACACACGGGACAGTTTTAACTGCGAGACATTGTGTCAGCCATAACAATGCAGTGTTAAATGCTTGTTGCTATTAATCTTTAGATAATATGAATTTGCATTATTTGCATTAAATAGGGTTGACAAAAGGTGTTCGCATATAAATCATATGTTAAGCTAAGGAACTTAAACCTATTTAGCCATATTAATAGCATGCAAAAATTCTAAAATTAAAAACATAACTGTTTTTAGTATTTCAGTTTATAGTGCCACGCGCAGTGTAGAGTTCCGTAGTTGCTCGTTGTCGTCACAATATATTATGGAAAGAGTATACTTTATGCAATTACTTCGTCCAAGTCACTTTTAATGACTTCTTCTAAGGATTTTTTATTAGGTCAGAAATTTTGTAATAAAGAAGTTGAACGACTATTACTCTTAGGCCCGTATTACAGAATGAAAACTAAGTGTTGATCTTTACTTGAGTACAGTTAGAAAGGGATGTCGCTATGTGATATATATAGCGACTTGACCCTTTCTAACTGCGCTCAAGACTAGATCAATCACTGAAAATCTTTTTATAATACGGGCCTTAAAGTAACACATCTATTTAAACCGTAATAATTCTCATTTAAAGTTCATTAAAATCACTATTTTGATGTTTATTTTTCAGGTTTTTCAAGCCAATAGTTCAGCTTTTAGAGGACGAACGAAAATTAGCACTTTATAGTTCAATTTGTCGCAAACTGATCCCTAAACCAAAAAATAGTCTTAGGAACCCTTAAGTCCTTTTAAAGGACCTATTCAACGATACCCCACACAATGGGGTAGATGATTCAAAAATAAAATCATCTCCAGGTTACCAAAACTGAATAAACAATGAAACTTCTTTTCGGACGGGGTGTAAATGGAAAGATCCTAGAGAAAAGATTTTACGGGAATACGTCACGAGCGTCACACGACTATATAATTTTTTTATATATATGTGTGTGTGTTTGTGAGATGCGTGCGCAGTTCTTCCCGACGAGCATGAAATTTGGAGAGTAACCCGGAGAAGGCGGAAACGCTACGAGCGTCACGAGCAACAATATATATATATATTTTATATACATATAAATGAGTGATGAGTGCGCTGCACCATTCGCCTATGTTCAGTTATTTAAAAAAAGTTTCACTTCAGATGTGTGGTCCGTGGACACTGATTTACTTTTATTAAGATAAGTTATGTTTTATGTTAATGGTTCGACAGGCTTCTCAATCTATGGTATATCTCTTTATAAAAAGATTATTAAATTACGTATTAACTTGTGGCATTGGAAACGCGCCCCTCGGGGGTGCAGGGGCGCTTATGATGCTGTGTTGCAGTTTATTTAATTTCCTCAAAGGCATACGTGGCATAGCGTGTTTTCAAGTGGCTTCCCACAGCTCTAGGGGGCCACGCTAGGGCTTTTCATTTCACCCTATCTAACACTGCTACTCGGGTTTATAAAGACATATATATGTACATGTGTTTGTCTATCTGCATAGTAAGTACTAATTCATCTTTAGCATGTCGCTATTTTAAATTGTTACAAAAAATCAGACCTTTCAGACGACTGTAATATGTCAATCAGTCACGGGACGATCGTCGGGAGATAATGGACAAGAATTCTGCAAAATTTGGCCACTAGGGGCGCTGTAATCGCTTGACCCAAAACTTCGATCAAATACCTATTAGCTTATATTCATTTTTAAGCTTTTTATTAAACAACATACAAATGCCGAATTGTGCAGTTCCTGGTTGTTGTGAAAAAACTGCATGCTTACCGACTAAAATATAATTTTATATGTGGCTTTGAAAGAGGGGCGGGCGGTAAAACTGAGCTGCTGTTTACATCATTGTATGTATCTGGGGCAGGTAATTGCATCTGGGTGTCTTCATTTTGATTAGAAAAAACTGCACCAAAATTAATATTGCGGTCATATGCCTCAAGTACTCGTATGTAAAAAAAACCCAATGTGTAACCTAACTCTATGAGATGTCTGACTGATGCAAAATTAAGATAGATTTGACTAATGAGCCCGCTAAAAGTTACTCAGATCCATAAACTATTAAAATAATCATGGAAAATACATCTATGTACCGAGAATGAGCATACTAGCATAATAATAGATAGAGTACTTTTCTACTAGATCAGCTTTTCTGCCTTGCGTAGATGCTCCTCAGCTGTATTATAGACCATGTTGAATACATTTTCACCACTTATTTAATATTTTTAACAACAAAAAACACGTTTAAAATTTGCCAGCGGCAATATTTGGCTGTGGTTTGGGTCAAGCGTTTGCAGCGCCATCTATGTCGAGCTTTGCGTATACTTCTCCATTATTAAAATACGTCAATATGACGTGAATGCCTATATTGCACTATCATATTATGTATGAAAAATGTAAAATATTGTTCTAAAAAATTAGTGGGTCAACTGTGTCAGCAGTTTAGAGTGCATCGACTCGGAATGAAACCGTACAGTTATAATACTCACAACTCACCATAGTTAATACAACAAATTAACGCAAAAAAAATCGGTCAAAGTAGATTGGGTAAAAGACATTGTTCTGCGTCCATACATAGTAAGCCTAAAAACCAACAATCATGAAATATTATTTTCTAGGTTCGAAATCGCAAGTTAATGACTGTAAAAACAAGGATTATTATTGACGGACACTTCTGAAAACTTAAATTATAAGAAAACAAAAAAAAATATGAGGTTATGTTTAATATTCAATGAAACATAGGTCAACCTATGTACTTAGTACCTATGAACTCAGTATGAAGTGAATTAATATTACAACCAATTCATTTTATTCGGTGCGATTTTAAAGAATAACTATTAGGAAAAACTTGGTTAGGTAGGAATCATGAATAAAATAGAAACTGTAGTTTTGCTTCTTATTTATTAACTATTTTTCATATAATTTTACCATATTGTATTTATTTGTATATCACATGTATTTGTATATTGTGTAAATATCCAGCGTCAATGTGTATCAGGTGTCCTTGAATAATTTGGCAGATCCTCTCAGGATGTTGTGGCACAGATTTATTAGCACTTGGTAATAAGGTCTCTGCTCTTCCGTAACATCGATGGCATATTAGATAGCCGAAATAGTTAAATTAAAGGAAAAACAATCGCAAATAAACACACACAACAAATAATTCGAAACGAGAATGCACAAATGCCACAGATTACTACGAATGCAAACTGCCTGCACCACAACCACAGATTGTCGAGTTTTATGCCGGCCCTTCACTTGACAACAGTTTGTCCTTGTCATGCTTAATAAGAAATAAAAAGGACAGACTGACGTCATGTTTTCAAATAGCAAATACGAATAGCCAAGTGAAGTGCCGGCATTAGGAAGAAAGAGTGTTTTGTTTGCAGCGCTGTCATAGATTATACACATAAAATGGTATTTATTGTCTCAGATTATTTTTCAACTTTTTAATTTAGCTTACTTAACTGGAAGTGTCCGTGACAATCTAAATACTGATAATTATCGCAAAAAATATACTAAGAATTATCATAAATGCCAAATTGGTGTTGGTTCTTAGGCCAATTTTAACATTGTCCTTGTATGGGTGTTCGTTCAAGAACCAATACCGACATCATTATGGTATTTATGTAAGGGGTACCACCTCAACTACATTTAAATACAAAGCGGCATCAAGTTTGAAAAAAAATACAGTTTATTTTTTGTTACTTTAATTATGTTTTAGTATTTTTTTAATTTGTCTTCAAACCTTTGATTATATTCACGCCTTGATACCGTATTAACTACTTCATGTGGTAGATACGCTCGTCGCGACACACGCACACATTGACTCATCATCAACCTATTTATGTTCCCACTGCTGCATTGAGGCACAGGCCTATGATAGGATGGAATAGGGAGATTGGGCCATGACCCACCACGCGGCCCAGTGTGGATTGGCGGGTGCTAACGACTGCAGATGCAGCTGGGACCAACGGCTTAACGTGCCTTCCGAAGCACGGAGGAGCTTGAGATAGTAAATTTTTAGTCACCCATCCGATCACTGAGCAAGTTGCTTAACTTCAACAATCGCAGCCGAACGCCTTAACCACTTGCGCCATCGAGCTCTTCACACACATTGACTGCTTTAAAACGATCTGACATTAGAGTCACGCACACATTGCGCGTAACATGAGCCGTTTTCTTTGCGTGATTTATTTGGATTGCTCTATTTAGGAGTGCATAGAGCGGACGTCTTTAACTAGCCTTTAAAGCGTGCAATTTCATGTCATTTTATAGAGCAGCAGTGCTACGGGAGACCCGCCTCAGGCAGCTTTGCCACGGGAGACCCGCCTCATGCAGCGCTGTTCTATGAAATAACACGAAATAATCACACGGAGCAGCCGTCCGCACCGTGCTCCCGCTTAACGCAACCCAGGCCCTTAAGGTTTATACAATTGAAATAAAATGGGATGTTATGTTATGGAATGGAGGCTTAGTTTGAATTAAGTATGTTGATGCAACCACTTGCATCAACATACTTATATATAGGACCACTCCTAAAAACAAACCCGCAAAAGGGGTAATACGCAACTACATTCCAACGCGTGCACATTTCTAATGTTCCCCACAACTAGTTCAAGTGGAAATGTCTTTCACATTAGGACTGCACAACAAATCCGAGTGCATACAGCCCGGAGCGGTAGACGGGTGTTCCCTAGGGTTAACCCGCTTCAAACACACGCTCGATACCACATGAATAAAGAAGAAACAGACGCAAACACATACCTAGAAAGTGGTTTAAGTAAATGACGCATGTGGTTCAACCGAGTGTCATATTCTGAGAACACATTAGGTGGCGGAAAAGCTTAGACCCCTGCTAACTCCTTCAATTATC